CCTCTGAGTGCCGTCACTGTCTCGCACTCTCTCACAGGATTTATCTCGATCTGTCCCATGGTACAATTACTTCCCGTCCTTCCGGGTTGTAAAATCATAAACCCACTGCGAAACAGAGTGTATAACTCATGTCATGCGTCCCTTTAAATATGAGCACAACATTTTGCACAATATAGCCATTGATAAGCATTTCTTTTTAAGTATGAGAAATTTACTGTCTTTTCTTTCTTGGCGGGTAATTAAGTTAAAAAGCAACTGTCCGCATCAGCTGCCTTTTAACAGTCACATTCTGTTAATAGAGCATTGATTGTACTTAGTATTCAGTTATAAGTCACAAAAGTCTGTAACTTGCTTGTCAGCTTCTCTCTGTCATAGACCAAAAAGATGTATGAAGAATTAGCTGGCCCGGCTCAGAGGCTCACACCTGTAATCCTAGCACTCTGGGATGCCGAGGAAAGAGGATTGCTTGAATTCAGTTCGAGACCAGCCTGAGCAAGAGTGAGACCCTGTCTCTTCTAAAAATAGAAAAATTAGCTGGGCCTAGTGGCATCCACCTGTAGTCCCAGCTGCTCAGAAGGCTGAGGCAGGAGGATTGCTTGAGCCCAGGAGTTTGAGGTTGCAGTGAGCTATGAGGATGCCACTGCACTGCACTCTACCCGGGGCGACAGAGCGAGACTCTTGTCTCAAAAAAAAAAAAAAAAAAAATTGGCCAAAGCTTTGAGGAGACACTCCAATGGTGCTGGCAGCAACATTCCGGCAGGGGGCAGCAGAGGGCTGCGTGCAGGGCGGCAGCCTGCGGGGCTCCCGGCTCCCAGGAAGTGTCTGTGAACCCAGGAGGGGAAATCTATTTCAAAGCAGAAGATGTATAGAATTAAAGAATAAGCAAAGCTGGGATGTTTCACGAGTCTCTTGGCTATCAAAGTGCTCACAGTCCTGACAGGATCTGTACTCGTTCAAAGCTCACACTCCGCCAGGGAGGAGGGGCTGTCAGAAGCCTCCGTTTCTGTTCTTATAGCATCCCGAAGCAGCCTTCCTCCTGACTCAAAATCTACCTCTTGGAAAACCACCTTCCCTCTGAATACTGTTTCTCCCTGGAATTCCTCTGACGGGCAGTTTCCCTCTGTTCTCCGAGAGTCGGGCCAGTTTTTGAAGCCCCCTTATCTTTTCCTTCTGTGGTCTGCCCCTGCCTTAAGTAATTCCAGCCAGCAGTTCTTTCCCGCCAAGGGCCGGCCCACCTGCCTCTGGGACGAAGCCGTCCTTATTTGCAGGCGCAGAGAACCTATGCCGGCACAAAATGTGCCCCAGACTTTAAAGAGTACATGTTTAAAAGGGAGCTCTCCTCACAGTGGTACTCTGAGCACTTGTCTCACAAGAAGATCATCTCTGGCCAAATTCACCTAAATTTGGCCTGAGGATGCCTGCACACTTGAGTTCTTAGAACTGCAGCCTGGCTTAGCTCGTAAACTAACGGGAACGCCTAATTTAGTGCATGTTTGCAACAAACAGCTGAGCCTCAGCCGGTTCTGTCACCTGACTGGGTCACAGCTGACTGACTGATTCAAATAAGGCAAACGCTGAGCTGTACCCAATCAAGCCGTAATACGTACCCCACCTCCAATTTCTCCCCATAAATACTGTCTGACCAAATTGCTGACCAGAGTTCTTGAACCTGTTCTGGTTCTGAGGGTGGCCTGATTCATACATCATGTTTTTGTAGGGTTTGCCCCCTCCCCCTTCATGTAAACTCTGCTAAATTTAACTTGTGTAAGTTTTTTTCCTTTTAACAGGGGTCTCTGCCACTCACCGCTCAAGGATCTGCCCTCCCCCTCACCGAAAGGTACAGGGTCCCTCTAAAACCTACAATGTCAAGCATGTCTGTGACTTTCGTGAATGTCAAAAGAACGCTGGCAGCCCCAAATGAATAGGAACAGAAGGAGACGTGGGGGGTGACAAACAAGAAACTTCTGCTCTTGCGCTGGCTTCCCAGGGACCGACTATGTTGAGATAACTGCACATGCACCCATAGATGCCAGCCCTGCTGAGGATCTGGCACCCCGAGCCCCTGGGGTGGACACGAAGCAAGACTTGGTCGACCACTGACAGCAGAAAAACCAACTTCCTGAGCAGACTCTTCCAGTGGGACTCAGTGGTGCCTTTGGTGTACCGATTCTCAATAATCCACCTTGATCCTGAAATCTCTGCAGCACTTACAAATTATGGACTCTTCTGTAAAAAGCAGAGCTTTTAGACTGTATGAGACTACGTGTTGTCTGCCCAAAGTCTATTCTCCCTCCTTTTTTAGTAACAGAACTCTAGACAACGTGTCAGCTTTTAAAACAAAACAAAACAAAACTGCATTCCAAGCCTCTAGTGCAGAGGAAGGCAAGCCCTGGGGTGAGGCCCCCGGGAGATGTGTCTGCCTCTGCGCTCTGTCCAATCCCGGGGAAAACAGAAGCGAGGCGGCTGCAGGGCCAACAGTGAGCTCAGTGCTGGGAGCCGCCGCAGAGAGTGGCCGGCAGAAACAGGAGCTAGCTCTATAGCCCCGGGGAACCACCGCACCAGCCCGACTCCTCCCTCCTTCTATGACTTGAGAGATTCTCTAATTTTCTTAAGTCACTGATTGTGCCCACACTGTAAGCAGCAGGCGACACTCTGACCCTTGCTCCCAGAAGGCCTTATTAACAATCACAGAGGAAAATGAGACAGAAAAAGGATGCCTTCTCGCCTTTCCCCAATCCAGATAGACAGCTTCTGTTTATATTTCTTTTCCCCATATGGAAATGGAAATAACGCTAGCCAGACCCTTCGAGTGAGGGGGCCAGGGGGTCTGGAGGGAGCCTCACATTTTAGGGGCTGGTCAGTGAGCAACCTGTGCAGGGGAGAGCGTGAGGCCTGGTCACAGACACTGCCTCTAACAGGAATCCACAGCCCACCTCCCTGCCCCGCCCTGGTTAATCGCATCTGAGGTTAAGGGAGACAGCCAAATGATGATCCTTCTCTGTTTATTTTAATTATAAAAGTACTCTAAAAACTCATTTAACCAGAAGGTTCTGCAGATGCATTGTACAAATACAAAAAAATAGAAGAACCAATAATTCCACCCAGAGACAATTTCTTTTAATGTTATGGAAATAATCTTCCAGATCATTTCAATATACACATGCACAAATATGTATTCCTTAAATGGGACCATACTATAGATACGATTGTGCAATTTTAATTGTGTAATTCCAGCCCCTCTACATGCATTTCAACATAATCTTTCCATTTCAACATGCCATCAGAGCAGCCTTAGGACTTAGGACTGTCCCTCCCATATCACCACTCCCACCTCTGTTTCTAGAAGGGCTTGTAAGGTGCCAGTGCCCTCCAGAGAACAGGACCCTGTGATGGGCCTACCCATACTGCAGATGCCTGTGCAGAGTCTCCAACAAGGAAAGCCCTCTACACCTTGGATATGCAAGAGGAATTTTTTTTTTTTTCCCTTCTTCTAGGGAGGTCTCAAGGCACTTGGAGGGAGGAGGAATTCTTTTCAAAAATAACAATAATGGCTAACAGTTGTAAAGCACTTATTCTGTGCCAGCCCCTTTTTCATATAAAATCTCACCTAATCCTCACAAACATCTGCGAGGTGGATACTATTATTATCCCCATTTTACTGATGAGAAAACTGAGGCCAGGGGGGTTACCTAACATGTCCGAGGTCACAGAGCTGGTAGGTGGTGTACCCAGGAATTGAGCACAAAAATCAGACTCCAGAGTTCATTCTCTCTCCAGGGTATAGTCTACAAAGAAGGGGTCAAAACAACCTGTTGGTCACCCATATTCAAAGATCAGGTGATTTGTCTTAAAAGGGTCACCAGCTATTTCAGATGCAGTTCCTACATTTCAGTCTGTTCCAAGAAGCAAAAATTACCAGATATGGGGATTCCAAACAGTGGACTTGCATGGGCTCACATCAAATCTTTTTTAAGCCATGGGTGAGAAAAGTCCCTGGAAAGGACCAACTGGGAAATTGGGTGAGTTATTTTTGAGAAAAGAGCCCAGGAAAGACAGTAACCCCATGATACTATTCCAAAAAGGAAGCTCTAGGTTTGAGCCAAGTCTTGTGTAAAATGTCAAAATCTTGAAGTAATACATAGAGAGAACTTGCACAGTTGGGTATCAAGCCTTATTATAAAGCTACTAAGAAAGTATGCATTGGTGTAAGAATTTTTAAACTTAGACTAATGGGTAGAATGGAGATCTTTGAGATGCACACCAGGGCCCTCATCTAATGATGAAGGGAGTGTTGGAGAGCATTGGGGAAAGAACATGTTTTTAATAAATGGTGTTGAGAGAGGAAGTGAAATCTGGCCTCTACCTCACACCAGACACAAAAACACTTCCAAGAGAACCATAGACCCAATTATGAGAGGCAATTGAGCAGATAATCTATGATAATATCATTTTGACCTCAGGTTAGGAAAGATTTCTTAAACAGGTCACAGAAACATTGATAAACAGGACACTAAAATTTAAAACTTCTGCTCATCAAAGGATATCTGTACAATAGTAAAAAGGCAAATCACAGAGTGGGATAAGACATTTTCAACACTTATCTAGAATAAAGAACTCCTACACATCAATAAGAAAACCCCAGGATAGCATATAGAACAATAGGCAAGGATAGTCACTTCATAGGAAAAGAAATCCAAATGGCCAAGAAAGAGATGAAAAGGTGCTCAATCTGAGACGTGCATTAAAACCACAGTAAGATCCACCTGATCAAGCCATTAGACCTAACTTCCAGATCATAGGAAATACCAGAGAAGAACAGGTGTGACAGCATGAGAAAACATCAGACAAATGTAGAAGGTGAGACTTCCTTGCCATACTTGCCCAGTCTTTTAAAAAAAGTCAATGTCATAAAAAAAACCAAACCACAACAAATGAGAATAAAATTGAAAAGAAACTAAACACACAATGAGCAAATGCAATGCATAAATTGTGAGTGGATTTTGATTTCCCAAAACCAGCTATAAAAGACATTTTCAGGTCAATTGGGGAAGGTTAAAGATGGACAAAATATTGTATGACACTATGGACTTATTGTTAATTTTCTTGAGTATTGTGATTAAACAGTAGAATATCCCTCTTCTTAGGAGAATCATGCTGACCAAAGGAGCTAAACTTACCAAGACGAGCATGACCAAGTGTTGGCGAGGATGTGGAGCATTAAGACCTCTCGTGTACAGCTGGTGGGTGTGTAAACTGATGGAATGACCTTGGCATCATCTAGCAAAGCTGACAGAATGTACCCCATGACCCAGCAATTCTACTGCAAGGTACACAAAATACCATAAACTGAGTGGCTTATAAACAACAAAGACTTATTTCTGCCAGTTCTAGAGGGTGGGAAGTCCAAGATCAAATCTAGTTCACACATGGCAACTTCTCACCATGTCCTCGCTTGGTGAAAGAGACAAGGCAGCTCTGGGGTCTCTTTTTTATGCACATTAATCCCATAGTGTCTCCTCTGCTCTCATGATTCCAAATCACCCCCTAATATATACACGTATACATGTGTGCACAGTACATACACATCTACGTATCCATCTCGAGGGCGCACACACACGCAGACATAACAGGGCGTATCCACGGCAGTGACTATGGGATGTTTTTACCAGGACAAGCGCCTTCGTTGGACTCTTCCCTGAGGAAGTTTCTCTCCCAGGAGATACCTCAGCTCCTGCATAAGGACTCAGGCTAGTACCTAACAAGATACTGTGAGAATTGCCCAAACCAGGCAGGCGCAGACCTCATGTAGGTACAAATTCAACATCTCATTATATAGAAATACTTTTAATACTTTCAGAACATAATTTCCCCTCTTACTCTGCCTTCCTTTTCTTTTTACCTCCTTTTTCAGTCTTATTCCTTTCCTTTTTTCTTATTTCCAGCAGCCGAAGTAAAAGAGGAAGGGATAAGGGAGCCTTGTCAGAGGTGGGGCTTGGCAGGACAGGGGGAGACAAACCATTCTAGTTCTTTTTCCCACAGCCACCTCAGATCTTGAATTGGGGGGAGAAAAGGAACTCCTCTTGAGAAATCCTGACATTTCAGCGCCTGTTCCCGCAGCCCCTTGGGGTGTGCAGCCCTCCTGCGGCCCGGGCCTCCCAGCGGCTCCTGTTACCTGCACTGAGGAGCTCGTACATCCACCTGGGGCAGATGACAGAGGGCCAGGTGTGGGAGAGGACACAGCTGTCCCACACAGTATAGGACATGGACTCTGGTGACCATTTTCATCCACACTCACTTCTCAGTGTCCTTGCGGCCGATGGTGTAGCTTTCTAAGAAGGCAGGCCAGGATTAGGTGCTAATCTGTGGGAGAAAGCAAGGCCAAGCCGGGCCTGGTTAGCACAATGAGCTCCAAACTCCACACTCCAGCCTGACTCCAGAGCAGGGATGATGCCCACATTTTACCTTTCATTACCAACACACGATGAGCAATACTGACTGCCTGGAGCAGGAGTGGGCAAACTTTTTCTGGAAAGCATCCGATAATAAGTATTTAAGGTTTGGTGGACCGTATGGTCTCTGGGCAATTACTCAGCTATGCAAGCAGGCATAGACAGGACATGACCAAGTGAATGTGGCTGTGTCTCAATAACTTTATTTATAAAAAGAGGCATCTGGCCCAATATGGCCAATGGGCTGTAGTTGGCCAATCCCTGGCCTAGAGACCACTGAGTTGTAATGGAGTACAAGGATTCCTACAGGCTCAGAGAGAGTGTTGTCATCAATTAGCCCTGTCTACACAGGTGCTGTAGGAGAAGTAACACGTTCTAGATTAGTGGTCTACAAAGTGGGCTGTGCCTCCCCAGGGTGTGTGCAATGTGATCCATTGGTATATGGGAAAAAATATTTCTATTTATTCTTTTTTTACCTATTTTCATTTCAGGCTATTGATCTTGTCTACCCATCATGGGTCTGGGGAATCTGCAGTGAGTCATTTCTTCTGTCTAATGTGCTAATCAGAAGTCAGTCCTACAAACCTCTGAAGAGGATCTCACAGCAGATGTGTCCTGGAGTAGCAATATCTGCCCATCGTCACTCCCTCCTGGTCTGGTCTGAGCTGTGCACATCTCTCAGGACTTCTCCCAAGAGGACAGCAGTGATTCCTAATTCCTCACAAAAGCTTCCTTGGGGACGAGGGTGGACTTGCCACACCAAGGAAGTCTTGGATTTTTTATAACTCTGTCTTGAATCCAATTAGTGGTTCAGCTATTGGTCAGGACCCGAATAAAGGGAATCCCACACACACACACACACAGTTCATAAGAGCACTGAATAAACTTCCTGCTCTCTGATGGTCTCCTTCTCCCTCAGTAGTTCAGGCTTGCCACGTACAGGCAGATCATGCACCACACAAGGGTGCCATATCTAGGAAGGCATCATTCACACTGCAAACATGGTAGACTTATATGTATATCGTGACGATTTTCTGGTTTATAGCAGTGTCTTGTGCTAGCAAAATTAGTATATTATGACCATTTCTGACCCGTGAATGTAAAGCATCTTGAGGGAGGAGTACCTCTTTAATTCCACAAAGTACTAGATTGGTTAGTAGCATCCATAGCTACGTGACACCTCTAGTAGGGAAAGAATATAAAAGAAGAAAAATCCAGAAAGTACAACAGATTCATACTCCTCTGGGGAAGGGACAGCTTGTAAATGCCCTTTACAATGTGGGGGGACCTTTTCAGAGTGAGCCAGCATTTGAGTTTGAATCGTTAGCATAAACTGCTAAGAGCAAGGGCTAGGAGGAGATGTTCTCCTCTCAGTCACCTCTGCTCAGAACTGGGGGCGAAGGGGAAAAGGGACAGAAATTATTTTTCCCCATCTCATCTGTTCTCCATTTTACATAGATAAGAGGAGCTGGAAGAAGGCAGGCAAAGCAGAGAGATGTGTTTTGATGTTAACCCACATAGAAACAAATAAAAAAATAAGACCCTCCTTAGAGAAGAGCCAGTTGTTTAGTGGCTTCTGCTATTTAGTCTCCTTTCTCATGGTAACAACTCCCCACTTTTCTTGTGGGAAATCAGTTCTGCCCCACTGTGAAAAGCCTCTGGAATTGCCAAACAAAATACCCTTCCTTCTACTCACCAAAGGGCTGGGCACATGACTCAAGCTAGGTCAGTAGCACTCTCCGTCTTCCTCTCATTGATGGTTAAAATTATGTGTCAACTTGACTGGGCCACGGGGTGCCCAGATATTTGGTCAAACATTTTGGGTGTTTCTGTGAGAGTATTTAGAGAAAGAGAAAAAAAGAGATTAACATTTTAATTAGTAAAGAAGATTGTCTTCCATAATATGGGTGGTCCTTATCCAACTAGTTGAAGCTTGAATGGAACAAAGAGATGACGTTTTTCCCAATCTGCTAGAGAATTCTCTGGAGAGACTCTCTAGCAGATTGCCTTCATCTGCAGCATCAGCTCTTCCTGACTGATGGCCTTCAAACAGGAGCATTGGTTCTGGTTGGGTCTCCAACCTGAGAGCCCACTGGCCCACCCTGCAGACTGGACTTGCCAGCCTCCATAATCATATGAGCCAATTCCATATAGATTTTTTTTCTTATTATTTATGTTTCTCTGGAGAACTCTAATATACTCTCCCTCTTTCTCACTTTCTGGATTTTGAAGCATGAGTATATATTCTAAAAAATATAAGAATGGTTGTAGAACATTCACTACAGCAGTGGTGTCCTGACGAGACTGTCAAGGACCCAATTTCTGCTACCTAAGTCCCTCCAGAGATGCTCTGATTCTCATCCTTTTCTGAAACTGGTTCTCCATCTTCCTAACAATTCTTTGATCCACTGGGCCAGGCATGGTGGCTCATACCTATAATCCTAGCACTCTGGGAGGCCAAGGCAGGAGGATTGCTTGAAGTCAGGAGTTTGAGACCAGCCTGAGCAAGATCAAGACCCTGTCTCTACTAAAAATAGAAAAGATGAACTGGGCATGGTGGTGCTTGCCTATAGTCCCAGCTACTCAGGAGGCTGAAGCAGAAGGATCTTTGAGCCCAGGAATTTGAGGGTGCAGTGAGTTAGGCTGATGCCATGGCACTCTAGCCCAGGTGACAGAGTGAGACTCTGTCTCAAAATAACAAAACAAAACAAAGTAAAACTTCTTTGATCCACCCTGTATCTTCTTTTAGTCCACAAACATTTACTGAATGTTATGGTCTGAATGTTGAATCTCCCCAAAATTCATATGTTAGGACTTAATCCCCAATGTGATAGTATTAAGAGGTAGGGCCTTTAGGACTCCTTATGAATGAGATTAGTGCCCTTATAAAGAGGCATCAGGGAGTCTGTTTGTCCATTCTGCTGTGTGAGAACACAGAGAAGGCACCATCTAACCAAACACCAAATCTGCTAGCAACTTGATCTTGGACTTCCCTCCCTCCAAAACTGTGAGAAATACATTTCTGCGGTTTCTAAATTACCCAGTCTAAGAAATTTTGTGATAGCAACCTGAAAGGACTGAGTCACTGAGTGCCTACTGCATTCAAGGTCCCATTTTCTTGATGAAACAGCAGAGAACAAGTTAGCCCCTTCTCTCATGGAACTTATTTTCTAAAAAATCCTTTTCTCTTATTAAGAGTTTATTTCTGTTGCTTGCCACCAAAAAATCATGACTGATACTAACATTCTCCCTGCAGACACTTCTAGCTCTGCCCCTTCTCTGGGTTATCTTAGGTAAGCCAGATGTCAACCTCCAGAAGAAGTCAGAAGAAAAGATCCCTGGCTCTGAGCAATTCTTGAGAGCCACTTCTCTATGGTCGCCCCAAGGAAAAAAACCTAAGAACCTGCCAGTGGACTTGTGCAATGTTCTCGATTTGGGGTAATGAATGGCTCCACAGGAGCATCTACATCAGAGGAGCTTCTCAACAGGACGCCCTCGATCTAAACCATCTTTTCTCCTCGCCTGCTTAGAACCTGAGAAGATCCCTTACAACAAGCATTTCATTGTTCATGCCTCATTATGACTTGTTTCAAGCCTAATCTTCTTCACCAGAAGCCTTTTTAATGTCCTCCCCCAAGGCCCAAAGGATTTATTCTGGGATTAGACAGGAGACAAGATGAAAGAAGCTGATCAAAAGGGCCAGACATGGCTTTCTCATCAGGTAGCAGCAGACAGTTATTTAACACAACTGAAACTCTATCTTGCAAGCAAGCATGCTGTTTGGTTCACTGTAGGAGTTTCAATGGCTGCGGCTGGGAATTGTCACAGTTTAGTTTAGCACTCCTGGCAAACTTTGGAGCCAGCTTGCATAATGCAGTGTCTAAAGAACATGATTCCAGTTGAACAGAGCGTGTTTGCAGTTAAAAATAGAACTCCGTCGCATAACAACTCATATATAAATCATGAGGCTGGGGGAGGAACAAAATTAAATAATAGTCACTGAGGGTTCTTGAACACCTGTCCCAGTCACTCAGAGCAGGAGCTATCTGGGAATTGCCAGCACTCTGGAGTCAGTCCTGCCCTGAAATCAAATGGCAAAAATAGACAGACGACCAAACTGACCCAGTTAAATTAGGAAACATGACCGCACCTCTAAGCAGGCCACCATTCAAGTGGCCTCTCCACCCAGGCCTCCTCGGGGATTTAGCTCTGAGTTCTGAAGGAATTAACTGCTGCAGCTCCCATGGCAGACGTGCTGGATTTACAGCGTGACTGAAAGCTGAGCTGAGTCAGGGCTGAACCCACCCTCACCGATGCGTTTTCACTGCACGAGCACAGGCCATGTTCTGGACAGAACGCACGTGACGTGGGCCCTGGCTCCTTCTAAATGAATGCAGGACTGTCATGACCCACTGTTCAGACTTGCAAAGAGTAAGCATTAGAAAAGAAATATTTGGGTTTCCAGACCAGGAAACACTTAAAAACAGTAGTGTGGGTTTAATTGGAAAGGTTGCCCAGTGAAGAAGTAGAAATTTCACGCCTGGGCAATATGAAGCTGAGCCATCAACAATTAATCCCACACCGTGCCACCAGGAACAAAGGTGGTGAGAGACCAAAAAGAAAAGGAAGCCACCTCCCTCCCAACCCTGCCACTCCCCAGCCATTTGACCCAGGCAAATTGCGCCTCCTCTCAGGGTTTCTCTTCCCCTTTTTAAAATCGGTCACCAATGCCTGTTCCCTTTCAAACTCACCAAAATCGTGGAAAGACTAACTGGACACTGTGTCAGCAGTAATACCCTCTGTGCTTCACAGTCACCAGGGTAGGTTTAAAAACTGCAGCATGTGGGCTGAACTCCCAGATATTCTTGGGTGGGTCCCAGGAACAGGTGGATTCAAAAGTCCCGCAGGCCATTCTAATGTTGATTCAGGGCTAAGAGCCAAGAGCCATGACCTAGAGAACCACCCCCCATCTGCTTCCCCAGGGACTGATGGAAGATAAAAGGGATGTGGAGTCTCCCACCTCCTCCAAATCTTCAAGAGGCTTCCTTTGGTGGGTTTGGACAAACTGTCTCATTCCCAGACCTTCTCTCACCAACTTCTCCCCTCACCTTCTGCCAGCTTCAATCAGCAAAAGAATGAGCTAAATATGTCTCAAAGGTGACTGGGGACAGTTTACTGATTTAAATTGAAGCAAAACCCTAAGCAGCGCTTGAGTGTATTACGGCCTTTCTGGCGGAGAAGTTTTATCATTTAGGATTTACTTAGTGCAGAAGCAGTGGTAGCCAACTGGAGGGTCCTGCCACTCTCAGTCATGCTGCTGTGTTCAGAACAGGCTGCTGCCTCTGTGGCGTGTTTTAAAGAGCTCCCTGGACCCAGCTGGTGACCCTGAGCCTGCTACGTGTCTTAGGTCATTATTAGTAAGGAGTGCCTTGGTGGCAAGCACTGCCATCCTGCTATAAAATGCAGATGATTCAGCGTGGAGGATCCATGTTAAGTCCCTGATGCCTCAGCCTGGTTGATCTGTCAGTTTGTCCTGGTCACCCACTAGGCTCCGTGTCCCTTTTGACTAATGCATTTGTCACTGCAGGGGAGGAAAAATAGCTTTTCTTCACCCATCTTAGGTTCATGGTTGATGCCCCTCTAACAAAAGGCAGATAACAAGAGACAAGCATATAAATGTATTTAATATAAGTTTCACAGGACGTGGGAGCCTTCACAAGGAAATGAAGACCAGAAGAAACAGTTCCATCTGTGTTTTATAGTAGCTTGATGGGCAGTGGACAGTCACAGAGAAATATGATAGGGCAAAGAGTATGATGCAGTGGTAATAAACCGGGGAACTTAGCAAGGCCTGTTTGCTCAGACTCTTCTCTGTGTCCTGTGCCTGCAGAGATAAGGCTGCTCCTTTCTTCCGGATACAGGAAGCATCCCATGACCGGCTTCAGGGGAAGGTCAGAGAATCCTTCCTCGGTTTTACAACCTGCCTCAGGAAAGAAGGGGGGAGGAAGGTCGCAGAGACTTTCCTGCTTCTGTAGTTTTCCCAAATTCCTTTAGCTTAAACTATTCAATAGGCCAAGGTGCCATGTTTTGGGGTATCACATCCTGAGCCCCATCATTGCTGTTCGTTTTGCTTTGTCGGTCCTCATCTGCAGGTCAGCTGTGCTTCCTGCTTCTGTACACCCTAGAGGACCCCTTGTTCATCCTCTGTGTCCTCCCACAGCTGTAGTTCAGTTCTTTGCCCTTGAAAGCTCTCTGTGTGCTTCTGCTGTCTTGAATCAAACATTTGGAAGGAGCCAGAAACCTTGGAAGAGAAACCAGAAAGCACAGCAAGGTGGTGGAGTCCAGTGTTTGAGAGTCCAGAAACCAAACAGGTCTGGACTTGAATCCTGTCTCCTTCACTTACTAGCTATGTACGCCTGGGCAACATGCCTAACCTTTCTAAGCCTCAGTTTGCTCAACTGTAAAATAAAGTTAGTGATAAAGTCTGTATCATAAGATTGGTGTGAGGATTAAACGAGATGTACCTGGCATCGTGCAAATACCTGCCAAACATTGGCCACTATTACCACTGTTATTAAGAATAAGAGAGGAACTTGGGGGACTACTGGCATCTCCTCAGAATTAACGTGAATTGTGGAGCAACAGGACTAGGGGGCAAAAGACCTGAACTGAGAGCCATCCCCTCTTTTTAAAATTTAGGCAACTCACATCATTTCCTTAAGCTTCCTCTCCACTGGTGTAAAATTGCATGATAATAATACAATGCTTACTTCACAGCGTTACTGGGAGAACAAAATGCAGTCATGCATGCAAAGATGCTCTGCAAACC